GGGGGGCGGCCGCCCTCCGCTTTTGCACCCCCGCTTCCTCCCATCGCGGGGAGGGGTTCGGGCTGGGGTGGAGTCCCGTCCGGACGCACGCCTTCGCTTCTGGGGACGTCAACGGCGCCCTCTTCGTCTGGCACCCTGGGGACGACGGCCGGTGGCGGGGGGTGGCAAGCCACACCGCAGGGGGGCCATCGGTGGAGGAGATCCGGTGGAGTCCGACGCAGGGGGAGGTCCTCCTCACCGCGCGGGGGGGCGGGGAGGTGGAGGTGTGGGATGTGCGTGATATGCGCGCGCGGAAGCTCGCCTGGCGGGCCGACCCCACCGACATCAACGTCGCGGATTGGAATCAGGCACGGCAGGCCTCCCATCTAGTGGTCACCGGCGCCGATAGCGGGGCGGTCGCGATTTGGGACCTCCGCAAGCTCACTCCGGCGGAGCCGATCCAACGGCTGCCGTGGCACACCAAGAGCATCACCTCCGTCGAGTTTTCGCTCCACAACGAGAGCGTCCTCGCGGTAACCAGCGACGACGGGCAGTGCACCCTGTGGGACCTTAGCCTGGAGCGGGATCCGAGTGAGGAACAAGGGGTCGTGGGGGATCTCTTCGGTCGGAGGGACCTTACAGATATTCCAGATCAACTCATGTTTCAGCACCAGGGCCTTACCCACCCCAAAGAGGTTCATTGGCATTCCCAGATTCCCGGTATGGTGATCGTCTCGGATTATGAGGGTCTTCATCTGTTCAAGCCGATGAACTGGCGCTCCTTGATGAAGTAAGCACTTGACGATGCGCTTGTTTACTTGTTTTATCATCATCATCATCATCTTCTTCTTCACGAAGTTAATATCCCGTAGTGCTAAATTAAACTGGCAGCGGCGCACCCGATTTCTTTGTTTTTCCCCAATAGTTCTAATGAACAGTAGCCTAAGATTAAAGGTCACCCCAACGCGTGCCGTTTTTGTCGCTTAATATCTTAAGGTCTGCGCGCACTCGCGCGGCAGAGTACGATACGTTAAACATCTTAACCTATTATGAGGTGGTCCGTGTGGGGCCTATTCTTTGGACTGAACAAGAAAGGATGCGATACACGGGTGGTTTTTCTGCATGATGTGATTTTCTTCCATCTCTACTTCACACGACTAGGGTGCGACACCTCTCCAGCAACAGGCGTCAATCGCTATCTTCTGTAGGATTTTTTTTTTCATAAGGTCTAGAACAGAGCAGATCTACTCAAGATGAATGTTTTCCTCTTGCTCAGCATTTTAATTTTTAGCTGGAGCATCGATATGACAGATCCCAGTATACAAAAACGCATTACCTATCTGTTCTTTGGGGCCCATGGCGTAATATTTGGCATGTTTGCTTACGTCGCCTTTTTAATATGGCGCCGTTCTGATCAAGCCCTTATTCAAGTCAACGACCCCTACACCAATGAGATACAGATTAAGAAAACCTGGGAGTATGATGCCGGAAAGCTATGTGAGCTTTTTTTCATGAAAGTGGGGGTTTCTGCAGGCCTCGGCTATTTTCTGGCGTCCTATTTCACGTTCCCTCTCTCTATTATATTGCAGTCTGTCTATAACCCATTGATGGTCTGGAATTCGGAGCTCTTCAAGTTGTACGCCTTGGGGAAGGACGCTGAGGGTGCGCTAGCGCGACCATGGCCAGACGCCACTTCTTTACCTCCCTGGTTGACAGATTTGTGGACGCATTCCAAAGACGAGACCAAATCGATATTAGCGCAGCAAAATGAGGGGGGTAAGGCCGCGAACAGGTCGTCGAAGAAACGCAAGTAATCAAGAATAAAGAACTAATATCACACTATAAGGTTGTAATACATACATGCTGAGCTGGGCAGACACTACAATTTTTACGCTTAAGCCATACGTTAAATGAACGAATGCATATATATATATATATATATATATATGCGAAAATGATCCAATAGTCGACACAGTTTCGATCTCAGCTGTTGCAGCTTTGGTAGGTTGATTGCATCCTATTCAGAAAGATGGTGCATGTCACACTTTGTGGGTCGAGCTTCTTTGTGGAAAAGTAACATAGCATTCTCCCTATGTATGCTTTCCCCACCACTTGGTATAGTGCAGCCCAAACGGAAGCAATAATAGTAGTTCTGGTTCTGCATTGATCATCATAAAAGTTGATGTTAGTGATAGGGCTCATTCAGTAAGTATAGGTCTATTCGTAACGCTTCTATAAACCCAGACTTTTTTGATTATCTCTCTCTCTCTATGTGCATATATTTACATTACAATCATTCCTCAATTTGTTTTCAACCCCTTTTTAACTTATTTATCTGAGTAAGCTCTACGGTAGGCAATTCTGGTGTCGAGAACTATTTATTTATCATTTTTTTTACAGAAAAATAACAAACATGGCATCAAAAAATGAGCAAACGAAAGCGCGTCAGGTTGCTGCTGGGGAGACTTTTTTTTATCGAATTCATGGTTCTCCCGAGGTAGAAACCAGCTTCCGTGTTCGTCTTATCTCCGGCACCGCCAACGCCGAGCTCGCGGATGACGTGGCCAAGTGTCTCAGCATCGAAAAATCCAAAACGGAGATCAAAAAGTTCGCCAATGGGGAGTTGAACATCAAGGTCATCGATGACGTGCGCGGGGATGATTGCTTTATTATCCAACCCACCTCGGGTGGGGAGGAGACGGATGTGAACACGGTCGTGATGGAGCTGCTGCTGCTCGTGCACACCCTGAAGTTAGCCTCCGCGCGACGAATCACCGCGATCGTGCCGTACTTCGCGTACAGCCGACAGGATCGAAAGTGCGAGCCGCGCGTGCCGATCTCCGCCTCGGCGATGGCGCAGCTCCTCCAATGCGTCGGCGTCGACCGCGTCGTCACGCTCGATCTCCACTGCGGCCAAATCCAAGGGTTTTTCCGCAACATCCCGGTCGACAACCTCCTGATGTTCCCCGAGTTCGCGACCTACGTGCGACGCCAGCCGTGGTTTGATAAGAGGCGAACGGTGGTGGTGTCGCCCGACGCAGGGGGGGTGGAGCGCGCGAACGTGCTTGCCGATCGCATCAACGCCAGCCACATCGTTACGATTCTGAAACGACGAAAGGAGGCGGGTAAGGTGGACTCCATGCAGACGGTCGGGAACGTGGAGGGGTATACGTGCATCATCGTGGATGATATCGTGGATACGGCGGGGACCTTGTGTAAGGCGTGTGAGTTGCTCAAAGCGATGGGGGCCGTTCGCGTGGTGGCGTGTGCGAGCCATGGCATCCTCTCCGACCCCGCCTGCGAGCGCATCACGGCGTGTGATGCGCTGGAGGAATTAGTCGTTTCGGACTCCGTTTCTATGCGTGAAAAGATCAAAAGATGCCGGAAACTTACCGTCCTGACGACCGCCCCTCTGCTTGCGCAGGCGGTGGATTGCCTGCATAGGGAAGCCTCGCTGTCGTCACTTTTTGTGTAATTTTTAGTGATATATTTATCAGCATGTGCAAGGTGACTTTTTTTTCCCTTGGGAGGAAAAGAGAATGCGGGATGATATTTCTCTGTGCCTTGCACTATTGAGTAGAGTCGTAATCTTAAAAAAAAAAAAGGTGTAACATAAAAATATACATAAGTTGAGACGTCATCGCAAGATTTATAATTTTTATAGTAATGGGGGTCCTTTGAAGAACATAGCTTCAGTTAACATTTCTGTTTTGCCTGTGTATTCAAAACGAGGAAACTATAGGATCGTTTTCCGAATCCGGATTGTGATTCGCCCGCGCCCCCCTTCCCCTCTTAACTTTCTCCAGACTGTTGACTACACTGGAGATAGAAATTTTCTTCAATTTTAGATCGCCCCGATAAGAAGAAAACCACGTGTTCTATACTTTGCCGAAGTATTTTTTTCCCTTTCCCCCTCTTTATCCTTCCTTTTCGGTTGTTCTTATTCTTTCGTCGGCAATAGTAGAGTTTCATTTATTTCTTTTGTGTTTTTTATTTTTTTTTCCCTTTCCTTACGGGGTTGCTTAACGCCCTGTGCCTTTGTGGATGCGTCCTGGCACCGTATCCGACCTATCTTTTAACAGTAGCTCCGACTGCTCCGCGCATTTAGTCCCTTTAGATGAGAACGGCGAGTCTGTGATCGTGAGCGGGGGGGGAATTGAACCGTCCTCGAGTACGCAACGCGCACCTCGCGATGCATCCTCGCACCCCGCGCAATCCCACGGCGCCGCGGCAGGGCCGGCGGATCGCGGCCTCGGCAGCCGCATCGGCGAGGGCGTGAAGCAGGCGATCAGCCGCCTTTTGGGCATCGAATCGACACCCAATGCGGCTCTTCCCCCCTCCAGTGCGGCCTCGGATCCACCCGATGCCTTTCTCCCTGAGCGAAACTTCCGGCCGCTTCATGGGGCCGGCGAGGCGGAGCCGAGCGTCCCGTTTTCCTCCCTTTCCCGCCAAGTGGCGCGAGGGAGTGGGGGCGGGCACCCCGTCGTTCACGCGCGCGATCCGGAGGTGGTTCGCACCGAATACATCTTCGTCGACGTCGAGCAGCGACCGAGTGGGTTGTTTCGGGCGACGGACGCCTTCCTGAATCCCACCGCGGGGGATCCATTGGCGTCGTCATCTTTATCCCCCTTCGCCGCTTCCTCGGACCGCCGTCTGCGGCTGCGCGGGGGACGCGAGGCGGACGGCGTCGGCGACAAGGCGGAGGAAGAAGAGGAGGAGGAGTTGGGGCTCGACCATGAGGCGCCCGCCTACGAGTTGGATCTGATCTCGGCGTTGGAGAGCTATTTGGAGAACCCGAACGAGTGCTTTTCGCACCTCGTCGCCGCCGCGCTCGCCTCGCGGTCGTCGAAGCGGCCGGTGACCGGCGCCGAGGTCGCGGCCGCGCAGCACAACCCGTTTCTCGTGCGTTTGATCGTCAATTCGGGGTGTTTAGACGTCAACGACCCGCTCGCGCAGCGTCAGGTGCAGGAGACGCTCGACGCGTTGATCCCACTCGATTCGTCCGGTTTAGCCCCCACCGTCTACGACCACCTCAAGTCGTTGCTGAAGATGCCGTTTGTGCGGCTTTCCTACGAGCGTTATACGCTCCTCAAGGGGAGCGGGTTTGACTACATTATCCTCCTGCATACGCACCGACATGTGCTTCCACGGGATAGGTTCTGTTCCATCCTCTTTAACTACTCGCATAGTATGTTGCATTTTAACTGGGTCCTCATGCTGCTTTCGATCGTGATAAACACCCTGGCGATCTTGTCGGTGTATTACGTCCTCGTGCTTTGGGCCTTAAACGAGACTAAGAGCTATCGCATCAATGGGATCTACGCGCTCGTCGTGTATGGCTGCGGCTACGTCGCGAATATCGTGTCGATGGTCTACCTCTCGCAGCGGAAGGAGGACTCGACGATCTATGAGGATGTGGGGACCCTGCATACGCCCCCGCTCTACGCGCTGCTGTTATTCCTTCCTATATACGATGTTCATTGCCTTTTTACGTTCACACAAGCGGTGAGACGCTGGAAGCTGGTCTTAGCACACAACACACTCGTTCTTTCTAGGACCTCATCGATTTGCATTGCGATGTGGTTCGTCATCCCGCAAATCCTCGCTCAGAAGTATCTTATACATTCCTCAGGGGTTTCGAAGGTGGTCCACAAATTTAATTTGAGCTACAACTTTCTGTTTTTTGTGGGCATTGCGCAATGGGGTCTAGCACTCTTCCGCTACGGCTACATGATGATAGCCTACGATTCGATAAACTATTTTGGCTACGCTAGCTTCAAAAAATCAATCATGAAGAGTTACCTTGAAAGGCATGTTGCGATCCCAGTCTTGCTGAATCACTCCTCGTGTTATGTTTCAGAGGTATCGTTGTATGTGTTCATTGTCAGCTTTGTGGAGATAAACGGTATCAAAAGCTGTAAATATCTTACTGTTCTCGTCATCGCTCTCTCGGCGTCTACTTTGTTGGTGACTTCAGTGATGTTCACAACCCTTGCCTTCAAGAACGTCCGGGTCGGTCATGTGAGCTTCCTTAATATAGTCATTATTTGCTTTGTGGTTGGCATAAGGGTAGTAATACAACTCCACCATCCGTCTAGTGATGCGGCTGACTGTCGACGCTATATTAATAGCGTTTTCGATGATCTTCCGCTCATCTATGTCATTTGGTCTGTTCATGAGGTTTTCTTCATCCTTTGGCTGATTCTACTAGCGTGGTGGCCCCTACGGAAGCTTTTCAACCTCAACCTTCTTCAGCGCTTCCTGTACCCACTGCTTCGACGAGGGATGTCTGAGAAGAGGGACGGACAATCAAGTCGAGATCTAACTCGATGACGATGCGTACCACCCCGAGATAAATTTTTGCACGATTTATTTTTTGTCAGGTTCGCCTTTCGGAATACGCAAAATGAACCCACACTTCTGCATTGGTCTGAGAATATCTCACTTTTGCCTCTTTTATTTCCCTTTGTACCTTATTGATCACATTTATGTTGTTGCAAGTCATGAATACATACAAAATAGGGTATACATTTACCATTCGTCTTATATTAGTAGTATAATGAATCTGATTTTAGCAATTTTAAAATATGAAAAGTGTCGTGTTGTGTTTATTTGCTATTCAAATCTATTCCTTTTCTCTCATATATTGCCCATCTTTATTATTATCAGTATTATTATTATTCGTTCAGAAGTTAATATAAAAAAAGCGGTCTACTTGAGCCTTTTTTTCTTTTTATAGCCTCTAAGTCAACGTAATAGTATTTCCTTTACTTGACATATTCATATAGACTTTGCATTACATCTTTTTTTTTCTGTCAACTATTCAGGTAAGCAATACAACTTGAGATACGAACCGCCCTAACTTCTTATCCATCAAAAAATAAAAACAGGAAAATGTACGACTTTGCCTACAGCCGTAACGTCTACGTCGCGAGCCTTCCTCACGATTACACGAACGATCAGCTCCGCGAGCTTTTTGCGCGCTTTGGCAAAGTGATCTCGTGCACCGTTAAACGAGATAAGGTGACCGGGATTGGCAAGGGCTACGGATTCGTCCTTTTCGAAAAGGACGAGGACGCGTGCAACGCGGTGATTGGGCTCCAGAGGCATTCGATTAATCACACGCGAATTCAGGTTCGCCTCGCTCGCCCAGAGGCGTCCGCGAAGAAGATCCTTCCCGTGATTGCACAGCAGTATACCTTGCAGACCTACCAGCCGTGCTATATTATGATGATTCCACCTCGTAATTCAAACTCCCAGCCGGTTTTTGGTCAGTAAGGAAGGCATAGAAAGGAGAAAAAATATTTTTGAAAGTAACCAAGAAAGGAGTTTAAGATTTTGTTTTTATTACTTTGTTATTGTTATTGTTACTTTTCTTTTTTATTATAATTACCATTATTATCTATGTGCTTGATTTGTTGTTTATATCTTCACGGGTCAACTATAATATTTCCAACTTTTAAAAAAGAAATTCCGGAATGGGTTCACAAACCAAAAAAAAAAAGTAGACATCTACCTGATGAAATGGTAGGAAACGAAAAGGGGAGGGAAAATGAAAAAAAATAACTTATACCTTAGTAGAAACAGATTGAGAAAAAAAGAAAAAGTGTGCTAGCTATGATTTGGAGATCAAACGTAGAGAAAGGAGCAATTAAATAATCGATCGTGTCGAGTGATGCAACCTATATTCCATAAAGTCCATTATCTTAAGGGATTCACTTATGCTTAAAAGTATAAAAAATGGTTTCGAAATAAAATGAGAAAGTTTGACTATTTTGCGACATTTGGGAGTGACTTTAACGATGAAATCTATTCTATGAACTTAAGGATATATTTTTTCGTGTGTGTATGTGTCTGGAAGCATCTGTTAATTGATGTCTTTGTTGCTATTGCTTTATATCCCATTGGGCGTGCTATTTTATTTCTTCAAGATCTCATTTAATAGGGTATGATAGTTTCTCGTTAATCTTAGATTCCTTTTGACATCCCACCGATACATGTGTTTTTATTCCATTTAATGCGTAAAGCTCTCGTGCATGCATTCTTATTGCGATCCTTCCATCCCAGGGGTTTCACCACCACTAGATGCATTCGTGAACCCAAGGTCCTACCCCCTGGGGAGTTACTCCGGCGACGTGTAGGGATTTTAACCCGCGATGGCGATGCCGAGGCCGCGGCCGCGGCGATGCGCGAGTACGTTTCCTCGCAGCTTCGTCTTCCGCCTGAGAATCGGGGGGAACCATCGCTCGTGGCGTTCTGGGAGGCGCTTTCCACAACCCTCTTTGCGTGTGAACAAAGAGGAAAGGAGCGGTTGGGTTTGGATCTCATCACCACGGTGCGGCGCCACGTGCCGGATGCGTACTGGAAAAAAGAAGAAAACGTTTTGGCGCTTACCCTACGACTGCACTGCGCGACCGGGGAGGGGACCGCGGCGATGCATTTGTTTTCGTATTTAGTGCAGGAAGGCATGCTGAAACGGCGGACGGCCTCCGCGTTTTTGCGGTTTTGTTGCCGTCAAGGCGGGTTCAAGGCGGAGACCCAACGGGATCGGGTGTTCGCCGTCTACGAGACCTGTCTGCGGCGGCAGATCGAGCTCACCGGTGAGGATTACGTTGCGCTCGGGCGCTTTTGTGTTTCCATCCACGAACCCCTCTCGACGCTGCATCGGATGCTTTCCCGGATGCAAGAATCCATCCCAGAGGTCTCGGAGGCGATGGTGAGGGAGGTGTTGGAGCCGTGGTGCGCGCAGGCGGCAAAGGAGGGGGCGCGCTGTCGGCTACGCCGCGTTCGAATTCCGCCGCCGACCTCGACGGCGGTCACCTGCGTTTCCTGTCAGCGGCCGTTCAAAGGGTATCCCTTTTCGGAACCCGAGCGCGCCGCGTTGTTGCGGGAGCTGCGCGAAACCGTGATTCCCCCGCGTTGCCGCCACCCCAAGGCGCGGGAGGGGTTTGAAACGTGGTGCCGCTACCTCGCCCAACGCGCGTCGGCGGCGGATCCGATCGATCTCTTCATCGATGGCGCCAACGTCGGGTATTACGGCCTCTCCGGCTGGTATGAGGCGGCGAAACGACGCCGACTGGGCTCGCGCGCGATCTCGACGTCCGTTTTCCCCGCGAAGGATCTCGATTTTCATCCTCAACGGCGATCCCGCGCGGCGGTGGACGTTCCGGTGGATTTGGGGCTGATCCAAGACGCCTTGACAGGCGCGAGGGCAACGGAGGGGTTTCGTCGCCCGCTGGTGGTGTTGCAGGAGTGGCAGGTCGCAGCGAGCCCCGCGGAAGGGCAGCGAAGGCTCGCGGAGTGGCGCCGTCAAGGGTGGCTGTACGTGCTTCCTCGGGGGTTGAATGATGATCTGTGTTGGCTTTACGGCGCCCTCGCGCGGACGACCCCGACGGATGCGCGGGATGCCGTTGCCGAGCGACATCCGCCCGGGGTGCCGCCTCGCGAGTCGGTTTACGTCCTCACGAACGATCGGATGCGGGATCACCACTTTGCGTTGCTCAGCCCCCGCGCCTTCACGCGATGGCGGGAGCGGCATCGAATTTCGTTTCGTTGCGTTCGCGAAGCGGGTCGGACGCGGTTGTGTTGGCGGTGGCCACTTCCGTATACGCGTTGCCTGCAGTTCGATCGCGAGGTGGGGGTTTGGCATCTCCCGTACACCCTTGATAAAGGGGAGGAGGCGGAGGAAGGGGGTGCTTCCCCATCCCACCCCGTGGACCCCTCCGGTGGGGAGGAACCCGAACCTTGGGTTTGCCTTCAACTCAATTGTGAAAGTTGTTATTTGTGAAATGATACACTTCCCCCCCCCCCCCCCACACACACACGTTTTTTCTCCAGAATTTATAAAAATCAGATCCATCTGCGGGGGAAATATCACCCCCTCCTTCTATGTGGTGGGATTACGCCTATTAAAACAATTCATGTTCCTTCCCCCCCCCCCCCCCCCCCCTTTCCCCCACCTTTTTTTCCCATCTTCTCCACTTCTCACCTTCGCGACTTTTTTTCCCTCTTTTCTCCTTCCACACCGTATAGCTTCATTTACGCGCTCTTTTTCCTTTTCCTCTTCTTCGCCCCCCTCCCTTGTGCCCCCCGCCCGCCTTGAACGAACGGACGGCAGCAAGGACATCCGAAGTAGGAACCTCTCACACGCGGTAGGGATTATCAATCAACCCTTTTTTTCTTTTTTTTTTTTGAAAAAAGAAATCCATATCCCCCTCCTCCCCCCGCTTAAAGAAGGGAAATGACGAAGGGAACGACGTCGATGGGGCAGCGCCACGGGCGCACCCACATCCTCTGCCGCCGTTGCGGCCGCAACGCGTATCACGTGCAGTGGGAGCGCTGCGCGGCGTGTGCCTACCCCCGCCCGAGCCGCCGACGCTACAACTGGTCGGTGAAGGCGATCAAACGACGCCGGACGGGAACGGGAAGGTGCCGCTATCTCAAGGTCGTCAACCGCCGCATCGCGAACCACTTCAAGACCCCCAAGGCGTAAGCAACCAGAACC